TATAAAATCTAATAATTATAAATATATCTATATTATAAATATTATAAATAGCATAAATATATATTATAAAGAAATCTATATTATAAATATATCTAATCATGTTATAATAATTTATATAAAATCTAACCATGTTACAAAAAATACATGCAAAATAGAAGCATGACAAAGGATACAACCACAATAAATATAAAGGCTAATTCTGAAATAATTTTTCATATTAATAATTCCATGTGAGAAAGGGTAGGAGAGAGAAATGCAGGTCTGATTATTGCTTTATAAATACCTGCCTTCTAAAACAACAATTAAACTATACAATCATCCAGAGATAAGCTTCAGATTAGCCTGCAATTTACTGGCAAACATTTCTTGCCTGGCATATATTTAACAATGTTTTCTTAATATTGTCTGAAATGTGACCATAGTACAGCTATGGAGAAGGAAAAATAAAATTGCTATCTACACATGTCCTGTTATCTATGAACACAGAACTGTTTTCTTCCTTTTGCTAAACTGTGTGCATCATTTTCTCAGGAGTTCTATGATGAGTGGCCAATCCGGCTGGGCGAGGCAGAGCCTTACAAAGGCCCCAAGACACCTGATGGACGAGTGAGAATATTAATTTTTCTTTTTACGAATCTTAATTTTTACATTGAGGTTGTAGGAGTCACCTACATGTTTTTATCTTTTTATTTAGGAAGTCAACTTTTATAAGATTATTGACTATATTTTACATGGAAAAGAAGAAATCAAAGTCATTCCGTGAGTATTCACTTGCAGTCTGCGAACATGTGGTAATTAGATATATTGCTGGGATAGAATAATAACATGTCTGTATTGTAGAAATCATTTAATTTCATTTTCTCTCTAAAGGTCACCTCCAGCAGATCACTGGTGTCTTGTCAGTGGACTGCCAACATATGTTGCTGAAAATGGATTTGTAAGTTCATAGCAAAAGTGAAAACTAAAAGTTTTAGTTCATGCAGTTCTTCTGATTGAATAAAAAAAACCCCAAAACTTCCCCATGACCAAAAACCTCTACAAAAATACCATGCTGCTTCCAGTGTCATTGGTTCCCAGTGAAATAATGCGAATTCATTGTCTGGATGGAGACAAGCCCTCAGCACAAATGGCCAAAATGTCAGGAAAATTTCCCTCTGATTGTGGTGACATCGGAGGAATAATGTGTGCATTTGATGACACTTTCCAGGTGCCCTAAGTCTCACAACAAAATGTCAAAGTAAGAAAATCATCATACACACTGTTTTAAAATTTTCTTTTTTTCTTATCTCTTCTTGTGTAGACAACACATGTAATTCAAAGTTGTGATCTATGACAGTTATTAGTAATCCTATGGCATTTTTAATAGCAGAAAGGACAGAGCCCTTAGTACTCAGTTATTTCTTTCTATAAACCCCCATGTCATTTTAAACTTGGAAGTGATTTTCTTAACCATTATGCTTATGCACTGCGAGACATCATACATGAGGGACTTTGCCCTCCAGAACGATGTCTGTTAGAATAACCACATCTAATTTAATAGGAAAAGTTTTAATTTCTGTAGCTAGCTAGAGTGTTCACTGTTGTTAGCTTAGAAAATAAATATGCCTATTAAAAATATCAGACCAAGTCTTGGTGCACATTGTATTCCATTTAAACAATCTCTCCTTTTCTTTATGCTGCAGATTTGTAATATGATGAATGCACCAGCAGATGACTATTTCACATTTCAGGTAATTCCAGTAATGTTAATAATTATAGACATCATAGAAATATATGCTAATGCTTTCCACCAATTTGTTATACAGTTGATTACATAAATAATATCTCCTTTGTTTGCGATGTACAGGTCTTAGTGTTACATTGCCTGTATCAACAGCTGTATTACTACTTTCAAAGAAATATACAACACTTCCTGTTCTTTGGTTTTCCTACAGAAAGGACCAGTGGATGAGACTGGATGGGTTATCAAAAATGTCCTGTCATTGCCTATTGTCAACAAAAAAGAAGAAATTGTGGGAGTTGCAACATTTTACAATAGGAAAGATGGAAAACCTTTTGATGAGTATGATGAACAGATCATTGAAGTAAGCTTACTAGGATTAGAGGCTTTAAGGAGCCATATGATGCTAACAAAAATATTATTCTAAAAAGTAATTTTTAAATGTCTAAAAATTTTCAAATAGGCTATATTAACATCTAACTAAATGTCTACCTTCTTCACTATACAGTTTCTTAAGAATCAGAAATGTTATGCCCCTTATAAACCTGAAAATTTATGAGAGATCATTTACATTCCAATAATGAACAGAAGTCAGATATACTTTTATTTTTAATCATTTGACATTTTAGTCATGGTCAGCATCTCCTAATTAGCAGTGGGTAAGCAGGTATGGCGCGCTGCTTGCCAATGGATATGGTGCCTGTGATCATGGGAGTTCCCAGAGTGTTCATGATTACATGCACTTGGGCAAGATAAGATGCTACACAGCGTATCCAAGTCCACTTACCTAACTTAAGCTTCATAAGCCTCAAAGTCCTGTATACAAAATGGGAATATAGGTCCTTAATTACTAAGTCGAGACAAACAACGTCATTAAAAGCTGTGAGGTGCCAACAGAACCTGTTGATGGAAGGTAAAGACCTCTAACAGACAGAATTACATGTTGCTTTTCAAAGGGCACTACGAGAAATTGCAGTTTAAGAAAAGTAAGTTCAAATTGTCAGTTTAAGTTTATTGTCATGGTGTCATCTCTGCTTTGCTTGGCTTTGTTCCAGACTCTCACACAGTTCCTGGGGTGGTCTGTTTTAAATACTGACACTTATGACAAAATGAACAAGCTTGAAAACAGGAAAGACATTGCTCAGGAAATGCTTATGTACCAGACAAAGGCCACCCCTTCCGAAGTTGAATCTATACTGGTAAGTTTCTGCCCGCAGTCACAAAATTAAAGTAGGAAATTTGTTAGACAAAAACTTAATTTCTTACTCATTTTCATTTTTAGAAATACAAGGAGAAATTAAATGTAAATAGTATAGAAGAATGTGATCAAAAGGATCTTATCAGGATTTTGGTAAGTCATTAAACTGAAAACTCTGGTGGCATGTTTATATCAGATAGTAATGTGTCCTCACTATAGAAGAAGTTGTGTATAGCCAAATCCTGATTAATACAATTGATTTTAGCTATCAGTTCCATGAGCTAGATGGGCTTGATTTAATAATACATCTTCAACCTCTTCAGTTCTTCTACGTTCAGATCCCACTGTCACCTACAGGGAAACATTCTGTTCCAAATACATGTCAACAGACCTGGATAGTCAGTTATATAGAAACATTTATATGAATTAGCATTTAAAGTGTTTAACTTCTTTAAATATCCATGGGTACAGTGCTACACCTAAAACTTAATTTATTTAATTTTGAATATAAAAGAAGGGACATTGATGTAAAGTCACTTTCATTCTGAGTAAGAAAAGACATGTAGGAGTGTCCAGTGGAACTAACCTACTTTCAGATTAATTTTCCCACATTTCCTTCGGCAGAGACGTCCAAAGATGGTGATCAGTGATTTCACAGTGATGAAACAGATTTGACATAATCAGTTAAAACTCTGCTACTATGAAAACAAAAACCAGTCACTTTCTTTTCCAGACTGTGCAGTCCTCTGGTTGCCTTAGTATTTCAATCTAGAAAGGGAGTGCCTTTTTGGAGGAAAACTCCTGTTTGTGCCCGCTTATTGCACTTCATCTTGTCTTGTGGAACAGTCCTGCACATGCACTGGCTTACTTTATCAGAAACAAAACCCAAAGATCTGCTTCAGGAAAACACTGAATGAACTCCCACTGTTAATGGATCAAAACAGAGCTAGGCTCAAGAAAAAAGGTCAAATACACACAAATCTCTTGATTTCCAGTACCAATCACGTCACATATTTCCTCCTATTACACCACATTTGCTAATATAGACATCGCCTTAGGGAAAAGATCTTATTAAACTATTTTCCATTATGTACATGTGCATGCCAGAATACAATGGTGTTAAGGTTTTACTGTCTCCCACAAAACAGATGCCCACACAGCTTACAAGTGCTGAAACAAAAAAACATCAACAGACTGTGTGTAACTTCACATACCATTTAAAGTAAATTTAATGTAGCTGCATGAAGAATTGCAAAAATTTAATAGATAAACATTATAAAATCTCTCTACTGGTACAGCAACAAGTGATTATTATGGTACAGACTCCAAATGTAAAAACATGATACTAGTATAAATTTTTAAATCTCCAAAAAGCAATTAAAATTAGTTCTCTCGACACTGTGGAGTCACAAATTCAAAGGTCTGATATCTTGTGCACTGCCAAGGCTACATGCAAATGCTTTATCCTATTATAAGACCTAGAATCCTAGATAGCTAATGGGATAAAGCAGGTGTCTCTAGATCTGATGATTCACAACGTAATGGGTCTTAAAACACCACTGGCTCCAGGTTTCCTTGTCCTTGACCTCATATCAAAGTAGATATAAAGGAAAATCCCAGGGAGAAGGAAATACCTTTGCATGGATGTTCAGCCTTATTGTTGAAATATGTGCATACATTCTGTCATCTTCTTTCCTTATCTGTAAAACAGAGATAATTCATAGACTACTACAGAGAAAGGGAGTCATTGTGATCATATAATATATTTTTTGTGTTGCACCAGACTTCCCTGAATTAATTCTTGTTTGGATTGGGGTGCATTCTTTAAAATACAATACCGCTCTCCCTAGGCTTTGGGATACACAGAAGAAAAATGTTGTATAGCAGTTCACTAATATCACTATTACCAGTGAGGCTATTCAATGTGAATCTATAAAATATATATAAAATGGGCAATTTAAACTTAATACAGGCTTCTTAACTTTCATATCCTCTGCATTTTAGAATTTAGTATATATTTTATGGAGGTTCTTCAGTAGAAGGAAGAGCTGGCCTAAGCTCTGTATCTGCCCTTCAGAGAGAAAAATCCCTGAATGGCATCCAGACAGCTTCTAATGAAATTTAGCACATGGGGAAAAGATTATGCACTTATACAGTTCACTGCTTCTGGAATGATCTCTCATCTTCATCAGTGGTCAGGATTGTTTGGAATAGACTGTTGTAAATTCCAGAAAGGCAATTACTAGGACAGAATCACCACCAACTACAGCACTAGAAAGTAAATGACTCTAAGGGATTTGAAGTAAGCCACAATAACCATGAATACTATATGCTTTGTACCTGTAAGCATTGTAACAATTTTTACTTTATGCATATACTGAGATATTCAAGAGCCAAGCAGTCAAGAATCTACTGCAAGTAGACAAATGAAAACACAAATAAGATTTGTGAATTTTCACATCTGATCTTGTAGGATTTTCCAGTCCACTTTCCATGTGCCAAATCAACCTTACAGGTTTTGTCTATTAAGTGTATATAGGTTATCACAGACAAAGAGAGATTGTCACAGGAGACAAGGTAAGACAGACTAATCTTGAGAGTTGGTTGTGGAGCAACAACAAACAACCAGCACTCCAGAAGTTAAAAATTGTACAGGAATCTTTGCTTGCCTATAGTCTCTCCAAGAGAAGACAAGGCTATGGGTAGGTAGGCATGCAAGCAAGCCTTCTGTTATTAAAAAAATGTTGTTGCTATACTTTATTCTACTGTAAAAGTAAAAATTTTTTCGTTCGAGACAGGTTGTTTCTGGTCACTATATTCATCGCTATTCATAAGATCCAAAAGGGAAGAACATTTAACAAGAATAATTTTGGTTACAAAAAAGATGAACTGCAGCCTTGACATCTGGATAAAAGTGGGAGAATCACAGGGTTTTACACCAGGAAGGAGAAATTCCAAGGCCTGAGATTTCTGAACTAAGGAAATGTTGAGATGGTCACAACAGATTGTGTTGGAATTCAGAGTAGGAAGCAACACCATCTGGCCAAGACTTTTACCTATCCTCTTTGAGAAGACAGCCAGCAGTATCATGATTGTGTTTCATAACTTCATATACATTAGTTTGTACTGAAAACTGAGGCCTTTGAAGATATAGTAAGCATACAGCCCTTAGGCAATGTTTCTACTGACGTCAGAAAAGAAAATGATTTTTCCAACTTTGTTCTTGCCAGAAAAACCTTTGTGTTTTTGACTTTTCCTAACAGAAAGAAGAATTACCTGATCCAAAAGATTTAGAACTGTATGAATTTCGCTTCAGTGACTTTCCCGTTACAGAGCATGGCCTGATAACTTGTGGAATACGACTGTTCTTTGAGATAAATGTTGTTGAAAAGTTCAAAGTCCCAGCTGAGGTCCGATTTATTTTGTCTTGTTTATATTTATTTTAAGATAGAAGAAAAATAGCTGACTGTAGGTATTTTTAATATAGAAACAGGCAATACTAAAATATTAGTAGTATGGATAACAATCTTCCATTCTTAATTAAACATTTGCATATTTGTCATAAAGACTTAAAACTAATCCTGAAATTGTGTGAGCTACGGAAGAAATTAAATCAACATGCATTTACATAAGAACAATTTGCTCTTTCCATGTTTAATTCAATGAAATTATTTTCATAGAACTTGCACATTATTATTATTGTAATTTCATAATATATTTCAGTAATCTTATAGGAATTCCATCATTTTGCTTCAATTAACAGCACAGTCTTAATCACTTTTGTTCATAACAGGTCCTTACAAGATGGATGTACACAGTCAGGAAGGGTTATCGAGATATCACTTACCATAACTGGCGACATGGATTCAATGTGGGACAAACAATGTTTACTCTGCTGATGGTAATGTTCTTAATATAAACCTTACATTCATTATTTAGTTTTCCTTTCAATTCCAATTGGAAAATTCAGGAAGGTACACACTCAGAATTGTCTGGTTTTTTTTACAGACAGGTAAAATAAAGAAATACTATACTGATCTAGAAGCCTTTGCCATGGTTGCTGCTGCTTTCTGCCATGACATTGATCACAGAGGGACCAATAACTTGTATCAAATGAAGTAAGTTCAAATGCTCAAATATATGGAAATGTATTTTAGTGGCAAATGAAAAAAACGTGTCAAAACTTAGAAAAATACAAGGTGTATATTCCATATTCATCTGGCATGAATAAACATTTATCCTACAGAAGATTTCTGCCTCAGAGCTTTGTCATGACAGCTGAAAGACAAAGACATAATGCAAAAGCAGAATCTTAGAAGGATCTCCTTGGAGCTGCAATTCATTTTTAAGAGAGACTAAGCTTTAGCAATGCTTGGATTGTAGCAGAGTCTCCTGCACATGAGGCCACAAAGAAATGAGAAAAGTAAATTAAAATCCCTAACGGGATTACTTTTTTTCAAGCACTTTTCTGGACAGGGATTCAGGATGTGGCATAGAAAATGGCCAGTTTAGAGGTAGACAGGATTTAAGATGCATTCTTTTTCTCTGTTTTCTACTGTTCAATTTGACTAGCTCAGTTGTTCCCCCCGACTCAGTTTACTGATTGATGTAGGTCCTTTCCTGAGGTGTAATCTCCTCATGTTATATAGGATTCTGAGCTAATGAGTTTGTGTTCTGCCACTGAGTCCACATGCCAGTAAATTACACATCATGAGGTTAAGCTTTGCAATTCATGCTCCTTCTTGTTCTGAGAAAATATTCTAAAAGATTTCTTTGTGATTTTCCCTTGTTTGTTATGAAACAATATTAATTAGTAGATGCTTGTTATAAAACAATATTAATTCATTTTGGTTTAAACTTACCTTTTTATTACAACATCATGACATATCACGGTGAGAACCACTCTTCTCCTGAAGAATGAACAATCTACCATTTAGTCTTTTACGTCACCTGTTAGGGATCATTTCTATGTGCTAGCCAGAGAACAGAGGTTTCTCAGAACGTCACGTGTACCAGAAGATTATAACCATAATTTTCTGAGTACAGTTTCCCACCAACTGTATCTCCAGAATGATTCTTCCTCCTCCTCTGACCCTGGATACACTCCTCCCAGGAGACGTGTTTCAGCCTGCATGCTAGAGCAGTGACGCGAGGGGATTTTCTGATTATTCTCAGGGATTCTCCAGGTGACGTAGGAGAGAGAGAATGACAGATGCTGATTCTTATTCAGCGGACTGCCTCTCATCCAAATAAGTTTAAGGGGGGGTTTTAAATCTTCCTACTGTGGTCTTCCCTAGCTGAAAGCCCTCTACGTGAAGTCATACGCAGTAAAGCTATTTATAAAAGTTATCAGGCTTTACCACGACAGTCCTAATCACATGTCAGAAAATACAGGTAGCATGTAGCAATCCGCCTTGGGTTATCTGAGGAATGGAGGTATTAGCCAAGGGAAGAAAGAAGGAAAATACACTTCCAAACATGCTGAACCATCTGGAGCCTACACAGACACTTCTCCCTTCTCCCCATTACCATAGTCTGATGCAGAATTTCCTCTGCTTGAAGCTTGAGCCCAATGTCAGAGGGATGCTTGGAGCTCTGTGACAAGACTGAACATATCTGAGCTGCCAGGACTTGTGAAGTCCACAAAACGGTGATTTTGGAGGGGGGGAGAAGCCCAAGAGCATTAGAGGAATTAACTCCATTATATTGCTACTTTGGATTTAACTTATAGTAAGTTAGAAACACAGGGGACATGGCCCACAGTCATTACAGACAGACAAGTTCAAAAGCCATGCCACAGAATAAATACTTGAAGATGGATAAAGGCTACTTTTAAGGTACACAGAAGGTGTATAGATTAAACAAACACAAAACTGAACATGCAAGACAAAATAGAAGCATGTTTTAAAAATCATAGTTTTTGAGTTTTGAGGCACCTGACCATGCCTTTGACTTTAGTGAGCACTGAACACCCAGTTCTCTCCAATTTCCACCATTACTCAGTCACAAGAGTGAAGGGAAGCAAGAAATTTTTTTTGCTCTGCATCACACCTATGATTAAGGTATACAGATTAAACTGTTGAACATGCAGATCAGAAGCATTTTAATCCTAAAATCTGAATCCTGAATAAAAAATATTGCCTCCAAAATACTATAAAGAATTCCTTCTTTTTCAACAGGTCAGCTGCTCCACTGGCAAAACTTCACGGCTCTTCCATTTTAGAAAGGCATCACCTAGAGTACAGTAAAACCCTACTGCAAGATGAGGTACGTCTGCATGAACCTTCTGCTCACACTGATCAACACAAAAGATGCAAATAGTTGAGATGTTCCAAATTTCACCATGTCTCATTCATTCCTCTAGGTCCAGATTAAGAAACTATGCTAAAATTCAGAAGTTTAAGCCAAATTCTCATGCATTATCCACTTTTAGGGAAACATCAGTAATCCAGCCAGAAATAGACTCACATAAGATAGAAAAGCTTTTCCTCTGGGCCTCACTCACACTCCTTAGTTTTTTTCCACTTTCACAAAACAGCTGACATTGAAACCAAAGCAGAAAATATAATACATACAAAATGTTGTAATTAAACCACAGACCCTCATTAGGTCTGAGTCCAGCTGCTGCCTCTGGCAGCTGAGGAACAAAGGGATGGGGCTGTTTATGGAGGGCGTCCTTACCCCCAGGCCAGTCCCCCCACATCTTACCTTGCTGAAACAGAGAAGGTGGTATTGTGAGGCTCTGCTGCAGCTCCCATTACTGATCTTTCCTGAATTAGGGAGATGCCCTTCCCCAGCATCTGTGGAGGTGAGGCTCCCCACCACAGTCTCCTCAGGCTCAACAAAATGGCAGCAGTGCAGCCTGGCAGGGCTCTCTCTCCCACAGAGCCCTGCTCCTCCAGTGGGGGTCGGCCATCCTTCCCTCAGTGGTGCCTGGCTCTGTCCTGGCTACAAGGGAAGAGACTCTTTACAAGGGAAGACAACTCTTTACAACATATTTTGCAGGGAAATACGAGATTTAACAGGCAAGGCTTGAACACATGCGCCCCTTCCATCCTACTTGTTCGCAGCAGTGTGGCAGGCACCCACTTCCACCCTCATTTTTCATTTTCTAATCCCTGTGGTGGTGTGATTTCCTGATCTCATGAGGCCACAGAATAAATCCTTACACTAACTGATAGCACAATGATCATAAAACCCCAAGATTTACGATTTAAAAAAAAAACCAAAACCATCTTTACCTTTATCGATGGTGATGCACTTTTTCAAATGTGAGATGCTGAGGAGTAACTCCTGCTCTTTGCTGGAGCAGTTGTCAGGACCTCTGGAGGCTCTCAAAAGCAGCATCGCTGCAGCCCGTGCTCTCATAGGTATTGTCCCCTCAGTTACAGAAGGAAGGAAAACTAGGACACTTCGAAAAATGCTGTGTGATACTCTCATTCCCTTTGCCCAAGGAAAAGGGCATTGCCCTTACTATGGCAGGTCCCTAATACCACTGCAGGCCAATAAGGGCCATCTTTACCAATTGAATAATTTTTCATTTGTAGCATTATTTTGATTTAAGGACTGTAGTTGGCCAATTTTGTTACGCTATTCTGTGAGACAATCTGTATAGTACAAATCAAAGACAATGTTATAACAGGAACTGAATTAATAAACTTTCCATCTTGCAGAGCTTAAACATCTTCCAGAACCTAAATAAGCGCCAGTTTGAAACTGTTCTACACTTATTTGAAGTTGCAATAATAGCAACTGACTTGGCTTTGTATTTCAAGTAAGTATTAAATTCTGTATAACTTCCCACTCAAAAAAATGTCAATCCTATAGAATTTTTAACTGTAGTTTCTAGTTGTTTATATGCAGAGTACAGAGCTATATTTAACATTGTTATTAAGTCAATTCTTCTAAAAAAACAAGATATTCTTTCAGGAATTATAAGTTTTCAAATTAGAGAACACATAAATGTATATAATACTTAGTATACCTTTAGTAGGTCATTCAAATACGCTTTTAGTTACAGCAAACCTATATGTCAGAAGTCTGGATTCTGTAGCCTAATCGTAAGGTTGTGTGCATGTGTGGTATTTAGTGCATCATACTACAATTATTCATACTAAACATGAGTATGCTTATGACATGGAACTTAAGATGCTGGTTTGAAAACAAAACTGTCGACATCAACTGATCCCAGTGCTAAATATGCCAAAGACTCCAAACATCAAATCATCCATCCTGTTCCTAAGTTACTGACTTATGGAGCCTTTTGTTTTGGTCCAGATGTCTTATGACTGGGACAATTTAAAGTCAGGAGACAGGAAATAATTCAGTAAGTTGTTCAACAGCAGTTATTAAATTTTAGTGAACATTAATTTCATTATTTCATTCATTCTAAATGCAAATTAGAAGATTTATTAAGCAATAGCAAGACACGTTTATGTTTTTGAAAGTTCTTCTCAGTCACGTCTTAGTGCTTCTTTGGATTTTTGAGGGGATGGAGTGGAAGAACATTTATTAGCATTTGCTTCACTTTTCCCAATTCATTATGTTACAGGAAGTAACAAACATGTAATAATAAAGAAATGTCACCCCAAACCGTTTAATATGAAGAATTAGGAAACTGGTTATTTGGTTTTTTTTCAAGAATTCTGACATAATACTTTACATGTCAGTGGTATATAGCAAAATCTAAATGTGCCAGGTTACCTGAAAAGTTTGAGTTCAATGGAAAGAAGGTGTCACTTTGATACTACTATGACTAGGATGCTACTTTGGAAAAGCACAAATATCAGAAATACGGTTTTCTATTTCATTTTTAATGCAGGAACTTTGATTCACTAATATATGGTTTATTGGTATGTTTTAACAGGAAAAGAACTATGTTTCAAAAGATTGTGGATGCAATTGAAAAAATGGAAACAGAAGATGAGGCTATTAAATATATATCTATCGACCCAACCAAAAAAGAAGTCATCATGTAGGTCGTTAATATTTTACTCTTTATTCAATCAGTTATCTAGGACCAAATTTTAAAGGAATTTCGGCACCTAAACATGTAAATTAAGACCTGGTGTTATTGTCCAATAACAAGCATAACCATGATTTTAAATTAGAACTAGATGTCTACAATCTCAAAATATGCAAAATGTGCATCCATCTGCATATTAGGTATTTAAATTCCTTAAAAAATCAAGACTTTTTTTTTTTCCTATCATCATCCTAACTATACTCCCATTTTGTTTTGCGTTTTCAAAGGGCTATGATGATGACTGGATGTGACCTGTCTGCAATAACCAAACCTTGGGAAGTGCAAAGTAAGGTAGGTACTTTTCGACTAGACAATACTGCATTTACTATCTGTTTTACTGCCTATTTGGTGTATGATAATTAAAAAAAAAAATTAGTTATGATCAGTTGATAGATATTTAAGTATCTGCACCCAACTGTGTTTCCAGAAAACAACCTCTATTTTTCTCTCACTGTGAGTGCAAGGGTTCCATGATGCCTCTCCCCAACCACTCTACAGCTGGTCCATGCGTCTTTACTTGTCCTTCAGCTAAAACTGGCATACCCGATTCTGTCAGCTGTTCTAGCTACCCTGAAATATCACTCAGTTATTTTTGTGCTATCCAACTTTTGCTATTTTTCAGCTGTTCTCAAGGTACAGATTTAACAGTATGATCTGAGTTGTGTCTATTCTCTAGACTGCAAAGTGCCATTGCAAAGTAGCTTAAACATGCTAAAAATAAACTCTGTAATACAGTGTGACACTGCTTTGTACATAAGTACTTCAAGTGCTCCAGTACTTATTGATCATCACACTGAAGCTCATCACTTAGCCTTACAGGAATAGGTTTTAACAATGCATAATCAAAATACAACTGTAAGATGCTTGTGGAGCCCTCTAAGTAACACATGTTACAGGTACTAGAAGATTGTTACGCTGCTATTATTGTCTTGTTCCTGTTAACAATAATCTATCATTTACTCAGCATGCACCAGAATATAATTTGCTGGAAAAAGCCTTAAGTACAGGAGAGATTGTCTATAATTTTTGAAAGAAGCACTTGACTATCTCTATAGGGATTAAAGAGTGGAATTCTACTGTGTTTGACTAAAACTCCCTATTTCTGGAGAAGTTTTTAAACTACTTGGAGATAACGCAGCTAGCAAGAAAAAATCCTCTGTTTTTGGAAGGGAAGTTAGTAATACTAGTGAACAGTAATATGCCAGTTTTTGGTTAGTGAACATTTTAACATTTTCTGGAAAGCCTTATTCTTTTATTTATTTATTTAAATTTACTGCTTTCTGCTGACACTTCCACTGAATTGTGATTACTCAGGTTGCCCTCATGGTTGCAAATGAATTCTGGGAGCAAGGTGACCTGGAACGAACTGTGCTACAGCAACAACCAATTGTAAGTACAAAATAATTTAACTGTGTTAAGCAATATTAACTGTTATTAAAACATTGACTAGATAATGGTCCCCGATGCTTACTAGATCATTATACCAAAAAGCATGGTATCTACATAATCTAAATTACTGCTATTCTGTTCTAGCCTATGATGGACAGAAACAAAGGAGATGAACTACCTAAGCTCCAAGTTGGTTTCATAGATTTTGTGTGCACATTCGTGTACAAGGTAAGAATATTTTCTTTTTGTTTTCCCACAGCAGCAGTTCTGATGGCAGAATTAGTGACAAACTGTTGCAGTTAAAAAATTCTAGACAGCAGCAGGACTCTTGGTCACAGGGTAAACAACTATCACAACTGCCACAATTTTGCACTCTTTTGTTACATAGAAGAATTGCTCCCACAAAGCCAATTCAAGAGATGTGAAGCAAATTCATAAAGGGAAGGTCTCAGTGAAACCTGAGGGTGCTTAGGTTTTGTTACTACCTTGAAAGACTGAGTTAGAGAGCCCAGTGTGATTCTTCAGTGTCCCATTTAATATAAGTATGCAACATGTAGATGGTTACAGAAAGCAGTTAATGCAGTTAAAGCACAGCAAAGGGAATAGGAAACTTGCGATATTCTGGAAATACAGATATTCTACACCTTCTGTAAGGCACTGAAATGCCAACATTATTAATCCCGGTCTAGCTTTTAATATTATCCCAAAATGTCATGCAGAAAAGTGACATGTAATATTTTAATATCTTCAGATACATGCTCATCTGCTTGGAATACACTAAGTGATACTAGGCTTTTTTATTATATCCTGACACTGATAATCATATGATAAAATACCATGTATTATAGTTATAATTGCATTCTATGAATGAGACTATTAAATGTGGGATTAGGGAAGATACTAAAATGTGCAGTATAAAATTCAGATCTTTTCTAACTGTCTACATGCACAATAGGGCATTATTATCCCAACACAGTATTTCCAATAATATGCCACCACTGCATGGCCAAGAACATGCTTTCAAGTGCGCACCAGCAGATACTCATACTATTGCTTTTAAAATTTTTTCTCTTCTACAGAAAAGCCACTACCAGAGATAGAACAAGTACTTGAAAAAAATGTGTAATCAAATAAAATTAATGAATCTACCATACATATTGAAATAGATTTAATAGAAAAATGAAAGCTGTTTCCTCTGCAAAGCAGCAGTATTTCAACAAATTCAGACTTTACAAATCATCAGTGTTTACAAATGCCTAATTTACTAATTTAAATTGTTTGTACAGGAATTCTCGAGGTTTCACAAGGAAATTACACCTATGTTTGATGGTCTTCAAAACAACAGGGTTGAATGGAAAACACGAGCTGATGAATATGAAGAGAAGATGAAAGTTATTGAGGAACAAAAGAAAAAGGAAGAAGAGGCAGCTGCTAAAAAAGGTTAAGTAACTTCTAAGGTTTTCATTTATGTATATTTGTAAGGTAGTCAACATATTCTCTGTCTCTCAAATTCACACATGCAGTGCAATTGTGCAATATTCTATTAAGCTTTATACTAATGGTATGCGAGTTCTGAATTAGCCAAATTAGCTTTATCTTTACTTGGAAGAGGAGTAACCTTTAAAGATTACACAAATCCAGTACCCTGATGCCATTTTCTAAACTGCAGAATTATAGAAAATACGATCATCACAAAAGTGAAGGGAATGTAAAATTTGTCTTAAGACTTAAAACTGAATGTAATTAAACACTTGTTTATCTGTGAATGCTGCAATCACCGGGAATACTAGAGATGTATCAAAATTCTGTGTGGCACCAGCCCCAATGTATTCAGGTGCTTTGTTTAAGTTGAAAATGAAAATCCTAAGTAAAAGAGATGGGAATGGATAGTGTGCATTTGGAACATAAAAAAGCAGTGCAAATGCCTGATTCTCTTCCAAGTTTAAGATAAAGTTTTTGGCTCTAGTTCCCCACCATCAGAGTCTTGACTGAAAAACACTCTCACATATTACAAATTTAACACTAATCTCCCTAAGACAGCCCAAGTCCTAAAAGTGAAAGAATGGTTCTGTATATGATAACCTAGAAGAGAATCTGATTTTATAGAAACTGAGAACCTATCACTCAAGTGTAAAAGTGAAATGAGTCAGTTATTATTATTCTGTATTGCATGTGGAACAGGAGGTCAACAGCTTTGCCAATCAGTTGAGATGACTGAAAAGGTTCAGAGATTAAAACAAAAACACATGCCATTAATAGAGAATGATTTATTGTCAGCTAGTTTGAAGAAGAAAAGTTAGTTTACTCTAAGTGTGTGTTTCACATCTTTAAAACATAAAATAGTATTGAATAATTTATTTGTTAATTAGTGTCTGTGGGAAATAGGTGAGTATTCTTCACATTTCACACAAAAGAGAGGCTACTCAAGGCCATCCATCAAGTTACAGTCAAGAGTGTGAAGTGGAACTAGAGAGTTATTGGCTCCTAAAATAAATGATAATAGGCTAAAATTTAAAGAAATGTTGTAGCAAAGTGGTTTAAAAAGAATTGTAAGTTACATGATTTAATCAAAGCAGGTTTTTGAAAGAGAAGTTTAATAAAATGAGTCAAATATTATTATTGTAATAAAATTACAAGAAATATTTTGGCCTGCTCACACTGTGATACCACTTACATACGCTTTCACAGAAATTACAGCCACCCCATTGTGTCCCAAATTTATTTTTAAAGACACTTTTTTGCAATTAATCATATAATCTTATTTATTTAAGATTAATTTATTGCCGAGAACTAGCTCGTTGTGAGTATGAACAAAGTACTCTTTCCTTACACTAGAATGTAAGCATCTGAACTTCACAGAAATACCAGCAAAACAAAACAACACAACCCAGGACCCACACACAAACCTCCTTACACCTTTGCTTTCTTGGCAAAGAGTATAGTTACTAAAGTCTGATCCTATGCCCTTAAGCATAAGGTTATTAAATAAAAATTAAATTATACATTTAGGAAGAGTCAGGTATTTCTACTCCCACTTGAAGTTAGGACTACCTTACATCATAGTCTCAAACTGCACCAGGAGAGGTTCAGGTTAGACGTTAGGAGACATTTCTTCACAGAAAGGGTTGTTAGGCATTGGAATGGGCTGCCCAGGGAGGTGGTGGAGCCACCATCCCTGGAGGTGTTTAAGAAGAGACTGGATGTGGCACTTAGTGCCATGGCCTAGACAATATGGTGGTGTTAGGGCAAAGGTTGGACTCAATGATCCCAGAGGTCTCTTCCAACCAAATCAATTCTGTGATTCCGTGATTGGTATTTTGGAATCACTTAATCACTGACTTAAGGAAAGAACTATTTTCCCACAAGGAACCTTACACATACAAGCATGGACAGACTGATTTGCAGGAGCTAAGGATCTGATCTTTGCATATCATAATTGGTATCACAAAATGTAAGTGAATTATTTTGCATCTTTTTAAACATGCACTGGATGAGGCCATGCACATTTGTGAAGAACAGATCTGACACTTTCAAATCAAGGCCATGTAAACATATGGGTTTGTTAAGTCAGTTCATACAAACAATAATTTGATACATGCTGAACCACAGTGGTTTCTCTAGATCACTCTGACCTGGCTATTCTTAGCCGTTCAGTCGACAGAAAAAAAAATAAACATATTTGCTGAACCACTGCAGTGGAAAGTTCAGAACAGAAACAAAAAAGGAATACAGTATTAAACTAAGAAAATGAAATACATAGTAACATACTGTTGATTATATCCACAAATTACAGAGGGTAGGACACTGATTATGTGACATGTTTCAATGCAGGTGGAAAGGGTCGAAAATGACCTAGTAACATGGTGATCCACAGCTTTCAAATGTAAGTTTTAATTCTAATATTGGTATCTTACCTTAAATGAACCTGGAAACGCAATTTATTACATTGAAAGAATCTTAACTATGGCCAATGAACATCTGTGGAATCATTTGAGAGAGGCAGTAACAGAACCAGTAGCTATAGATAACATAAAAAGTGCGTCTCTCTTAACTGGTAACTACAAAGGGATTCATGCAGGGTTGGATAAAGGTTTATACAACTAGGTCAAATTAAAGTTTTTGTATCATCTGCTTCAAAAATAGATTCACAGATTATATTGATCCAAGGGTTTATTTCTTTTGCATGGCTTGCATACCTCAGTTTTGTATGTGTGGGACAGAGTTATATATATTTAACTACTGAAACTTTCCAGTAAGAGTGGTTCAGTGTGTGTTTGGTCCTTTGAGAAATGTTGGTATCAACTGCTACACTAGATACACAAATGTATATATAACACGTGTTATTGCTTCATATTCCATCTTCCCAGACAAACAGTGAAAGGACGTTCAATTTTCAGAAGGTCAAACACACATAATATGCATGTAACAAAAGCAACACGTTTTTAACAAGAAATTAGAGCCGCTAAAATTAACAGAAAATACTCACTTTACTTTCCTTCTCTGTTTTTTTAGCTGAAAATGCAGCTGGAGGTGGTGGCGGGAGTGGAGAGGACGGAAAATCCAAAACATGTATAGTTTTGTAATTCTTTGTCTCAGACACCGTTTCTGCTACAGAAAAGACATCTAGAAAGAACTTCAATGAGCCCCAGCGGATTTCTGCTTCGCGTAGAATAGTATAGAGCGATCTCTTAACAATCCTCTTAAACACTTGCCATTTGTTGGAAATAAGTTTTAATGGAATAAACCAACAGTTACAATTAAAAAACTGGAAAATCAAGAGAAAAAAATAATGGTACAAAATGAGTTAACTGCGCTCTAGATACTTTTTAATGTCACTCAATTTCTATACAGTATTTTTATTACAATATGTAACTTCTGCACACTGTCCAGAAAAAAATGTAATTTTGACAGATCTTGTATGAAATTACTCAATGAAATCTAACATGTACAATTCAAACAAAAAATTGCTATTTTTCGTAACTTGTATATTTAGATTTTTATATTATGTGTATTTCCTTAATCTGGAATTGTGTCCTTTTCCTTCATTCTCAATACTATATAAAGTTCTAGAGTAAACATCTCCTTCACTTTAGGAATGCTCAACACAATTTCCTGTCTCATATCTATACAAAGCAGGCCTATGGTACACGGTACTTTTTCAAAACACCAAGGATAAATATGTAAATTGTAGCCATCGCTCAGAGAAACCACTCTTTTGCCCATATGCAAATGGCTCTGACCACAGTTCCTAAACTGACCACCTTTTATTGTAAAAATCTAAAAAGGCAGACTGTAAACATCATACTTTGCATAAGATACCTATACCAGTATATCTACAGCAGGCTCTACATTCAAAGGCATTTTAAAAGGCTTATGTTCTCCCAATGCACCTTTTTTAAAATGCAGTAAATGAAAGTATTTGAAAACCAATGAACAGGCACCAATTTAATCTCGGGACAGTAGAAGTAGGGCACATCGAATTCACATTACCTCCCTTTCTACAACCAAGACAGACTGCACACAAATTAGCTCTGCATAAACAATGATCTCCCTTTCAAAACCCTCTGTTCTTGCAGAATGACAGAGCCTACTCCATACCTTCTACTCAGGTCTCATGAAGCCAGCTCCTCCTGCAGATGAAGGAAAATGGCTAGTATATTTTACACGGATCTGACTATTCACTGGAACCAATTCCAAATCTAAGAGGAGATGGATGTCAAATGCAATTACTGCAACAAACAAGTTTAACAGGCAGACTCAATCCTGCCACTTTTCTTCCTCCTTTAAATAAAGCAGACCCTTTTTTTTTTCTCTGAAGGGCCCTCAGCATTCACTGAGAAGGGAGAATGACTAAACGATCTGCCACATTATATATCTTTCTTAGCATGCTCTATGAATATAGATACTGTGTACAACTCTCACCCAAAATTAAAGGAATCCACAAAAAAAATCCCACTTATTACATCCTTATTTATAAATGGGCCAAATATTTTATGCAAACTTAGTTATGACATAAAACTGGGTATCATGTATTATTTTCCGTATTAAATGCAGATACTAAAGAAAGTTATTTCAAGGTTGTTTGATCATGTAATTTTGTTCAAACTGCATTAAATGATGTATTTAATATGTACAATGTACCTTATTGTAACTGTATTTTAAAGACCCAAAAAGGAGTTAGTTATCCAGAACACATACTTAATATACAATACTTGAAGCAACAAATATAGCAACACATTCAACAAAAGCCCCTTTGGGCAAGTTGCATACATGTAAGCAGATTGCTGCAGATTGGATTTGACTCTCAACCAAGCTTGCGAGATGACAGAGAATTAACCTCTAAATCCACCTTCTTACCTAAAGAAGCCTTCATGCAAGGCTACGTTCATTTCTTACTCAAGGACACCCTAAATATGTCCTTGTACTGTCATCTATTATGTAAGTACAAGCTGTTTAAAATGTAATTATGCCAATTAATACTTGTAAATAGAGTTCTCAACTTATTCACAGGAGCGCATGTAAAATGCTCATAAATACACTGCAATCATCTTTGCTGTTACCTTTTCCATATAAAATACTTATTATAAATACTTTCTATAAATATATCTACAGTGAGAAGTACTTATCAAAAATATACTTTATACAACATTAACTTTCCTCAGACTAACATGAACATTTAATTCAAAAAAAGTTTGTCCTTTATATCCAAAGTAATTTTCATCCGACAAGGAAAATAGCCACTGTAACTATTCATATGGAGACCGTTTCTTTGGAAACATAAAGTGAAGAATGTTTAATGCTTTGTTGCAACTTGAAGAGGAAGATGAATCCAGTTAAGTTTCTCAAGCAAAATACATTCTTTACTTGTATATTTAGGATTACACTCTAAAGAAGGATTAACATTCAATCAATGTTAAGGAGATCAGAAACCACAGATAACATAAAAGTCACATGTACATCTCTAGTAGAAAGCCACACACTTTATTTTTTATATCAAAAAGGTCACCAACCAATCAGATTTTTAGAAGTGGAATTATCAGTCACATCATATTATAACTAAAATTTATAACAAAGTCACAATGAACTAACTTTTTTAAGGAGTAGGGCAGACACTTCAGATACGGTTTACTTAATTCAAGCATAATACATATTGGATAAAAACTGAACTTCTCCAATAGCATTTGAAAATACTTACAGAGTCTAATACCTGAGTATTAAAGTCTAAATGGCGAACAAATTTAAGGCTATTAATTCTTGTTTAATAAATTAGAAATATGAATCTATTAAAGTGTATGGCTTTAAACTACTAACAGAACCTTCCAAAATGCCCTTTTACAAAAATCTGGCAATAACTGAAGTTTGGGTTAAAATAAAAAGCAGCCAACTTCCATGATGTAACGTCAACAAACTATATTCTTGTTTGTTTACAACCTTCCTGCTTTAAGTTTGGGTGTCCTAAGTCTTTTGCACTGAACTGAAAAAAATCATTTCTCTTATTTCATGAGTATATAACCTACCACAAGAAAAAGAAAGTTTTTAGACCTGAAGCCTTCTACAAAGATAATCTACCCAAACGGTCCATGTAAGTGACTGTAGAAAAGGTATGCTGGCAGAAAGAGGTCTCTGATCCCTAATTATGACTGGATTTCCAGACTTTCATCTTGATAGTTCATGAAGAAAATCAGCCTACATCAATCACAAGTTTCAGAGAAACAAGTCTTGAAAATACTCATCAAACTCCTCCTCCCTGTGGGGGGAAAAAAAAAAAAAGTCCAAGAAAGTTCTGCTTTGAATCTGTAACTAGGACATAATCGTTGTACGACAAAGATTTAGCAGGCTTCTGATTACAATTTGTAGTCGGTATAGATAATTTTGCCTTACTCACTACTCACTATACTCCAATACTATTCACATTTCCCTATCTGGCAACAGCAGTGAGTTGACTGTCAGTATTTACTTCTACGATAACTGACGGTACAGTAGGGGGTGAGACAGTATGGTAGTGGTTTGACAAAGGTTCTCCTCCAGTGTTTTGTATGTCTCCTCTTTAAAAGCACATTCTTAGGTTCACTACATGGAAGGAGATTTGACATAATTTTAAATGTCAGAATATTCATTAAAACATTCAGGAAAAATCTCTGCCTTTGCAGTTCTGAATGGACAGTGTACGTTTTACTAGCTACAAGTTCATTAGATCAAACTAACCGTGATTTTTCATCTGCTTCTTGTAGAGGACCTTTCCAAAAGTCAGCATCTGAAGGACCATCTTGTGCATCACTGTTATCTGAATCTGTTAAAAAATTTAAAGTGCTTATTAAATAAATTTTAAAAGAATTGATCTTCTTTTTATTTAGATGGTATATTGCTAGGAGTAAAGTGTAGTTGTGACCACAAGAATAAAAAGAACACTTCATTTTGCATAAAGTGAAAATGAAAACATTTTCCAATATTACTCAATATAGCACCAAAAAGACTTGGGTATCATGAACTAGTATTTTGGCCAAACATAGCAACAATCATGTCAAAAACTGATCTTGACACAACAGCAGCATAGCACTTTGTTCCTAAAATTAAGGGTTTATAATCACAAACCCAGAATTACAATAGTTCCAACTCATGACACTAAATGAATCAATTACTTTACTTCTACTCGAATGATAACTTCTATTAACTGCAACTTACCAGTGAAATGGTCAGAAAACATGGATTACTGCATAACTCTTTCATGTAAGTATACAGAAGGAGGGAAAACAACAACAAAAATCTCTTTATCAGAAATATGCCCTGACCTAAAAAATACCCAATCTTCCAACAGAGCTTCCCAGACAAAACAAAGACTTCGGGCATGGTCCAAGTCATAAGAAAACCGCTTCAGGTCTTCCTGTATCTAACTGCAAAAACCTAGGTGCTGAGGACATTTGGAAAAACGTATAGCACAGCAGAGCAACCAGTAGAAACACTCAATCCCTTCTAGACAGTCTGCAGCAAGAACTGGCATGACCAGAAGATGCGGCTTGTTTCATCAAAAAAGAAACTGGGGACTGGTATTACCAAGATAGAACCAGTGCTTAAGGAGTCACTGAGACTCTGAGTGCATCCACCTGCAACAAGTAGGTCTCTGAGGCACTACAGGCGGCACCTGGAAAAGTCTTTAGTTAAAGCCTAGGATTTATTTAAAATCTATTAATTTTTTGAGCAGAGTACATATTAGTATCATTCCCTGAAGGGAAACGTAGCAGTTACTATATCAGAAAAGTACTCTCATTACACAGCACACATTACACAGCATATATTTGCATTCCTGGACCCATGCAATTATTAACAATGTACCTATTTTTGCACCCTCTACTCTTTTCTGGAACACTCTGACCTCTCTTTTTTTGTGATTATTTCCATTCTGTTATCTGCCCACATTTTTATTGCTCACTTAAACTTAAAATATTTCCTTCTTGAAATTCCTTAGTTTTTCTCCAAGAATTTGTAAGTAATTATTTTGACCCTTCATATCTCTGCTTGTTTTCACACAGCATTCTTATCATATAAAATATTAAAACCACCAGCAAATAAAACTAAGACCACTGAAAAATGATTATGAAATAAAACAACTTATTACAAAAACATAAAACGTAGAAAATATTCAAATACTTTACCTTTATCAGAATTCTCTGAATCTTCTGAAGACATCTGATCTGGAAAGAAACACCATATAAAAAATAGTAAGCTACTCTTGGTTTTATCCGTATCTTAAATTGTTTACAAGGATATTTCTATCACAATATATTCCACGTACACATCTCCAAATGCACGCACACATCATACATTCAAAGAAAGCAAGCAAACACTGAAGTAAAAAGACTTTTTTTGCACGAGTTCAAAGGTCATCAGTTTGAGCTCAAATACGTTATCCTGAGATCTGTGGTGTAAAAAGGTTATCTAACATTTCCAAAAGGCTTTCAACCCCAAAGCATACTTCACACCCCTTTCTGGTATGCAATGTCCAATTCTTGGACAAATTTTCCTTGCAATGCATATTTTTCAAAAGGCTCTCCCTCTCTGTAAAATATAATAAATTTATCTTTTTTCCTCCAATTTTTTTTTTTGTGCACCCAGGAAATTTTACCTAAGAAATTTAGCTTCTTGACAACCTGTGTTACAGTCAGGAAAGTTACATATCTATATTTATACATAATTATATATCTATATGTATGAAACTACAGCAAAACTAAGATTCAACTAACATATTTGAATATTTTAAAAATTGAATGTTTAAAATTTAAATTTACCTTTATGGGTCTTCTTTTTAGACTTCTTTTTTGCTGAACAAGATAGTTTTGTCTTCTTAATTTTTGGCTCTTTAGAGTTTGGTACATCTGTGCGTCTTTTCTTGTGTGCTTTGACTTCTTTCCTCCTTTAAAAAAAAAAGAATGTACACGTCTATTATATGTACTCCTCAAGCAACAGTAAATCTTAAAGTATTTAATTCAGTCATATAGTTGTCATTTTTTCTGAACCCTATCACTAGTTAAACTGAAAAAAAATAATGCAGTTAAAATGAAAAGGGCTATAGAAACACTAGAGCTCTATAGCTGAAGATAAAGGACAGAAAATGCTAAAGCTGCTAAAAAGACGCTGGTAAGGCAACAAAAGCAATGACCTGGCAATCAAAGATTAAATACAGAAAATAATTTTGTAACATGCCAAATTCTTATTTATATTGAAATCTTATTTTTCCTTTTAGCAAACAATTTTTTATGTATGTAATGAGAAAAACAGTTATGTGTAAAACCAAGTTTTTCAATATATTATCCTATTTGATAGCAACAAAACCTGAAGTAGGAGAATCTCAAGCCTAAGAACCTGCTGCAGACCAACAACCCATGTATTTTATTTTCAGCATTACTTACATAGGCTTATAGTACGAACATAGGCTAACTTCTTCCTGCTTCTTTGCACAAAGAAGTCAGTAAAATTCTTACAAAGCAAGTATTAATCTGCAGTTGACAAAGAGAAAATGTTTGACCGTGCTTATACTGAATTCAAGTGGTTTTACAATTTTAGTTCCCAAGAGAAGCAAAATAAATCAAACTAATCTCAGTTAGTTAATTCTCCTTCTTAATATGTGCCTATATAGTGCTTTAATGAAACTGAATATGAATTAACTTTTAAAATGGATTAATTAACAATTTTGGATATATCCATCTAAATGCACCTTTGATTTTACTTTAGAAAAGAAACCATTGTTGCCTAACTCAAAGGTTTCCCTTCCATATGCTTTTCAGATAATTGTATGGCTTAATTACTGAGCTGTGCAACTAAGTTAATGCCACATCGATTCAGAAAATCACAAAAACTGAGAATCAATAGTTGTGGAATTCAGTGAGATTATAGATAATAATAATAAAAAAATCTTAATGCATACATTTTATAGGTTCCAAATTCACTATTTTCCTCTCCTATTAGTAAGTGATTCTCAAAGAAGAACAAATACTCAAATTCAAAATTTCAAAACACAGTCACTTGACTCACACATAAACCCACTATTTTTAACAAAAGGAAAAGCATTCCAGCTCTTAAACACAGCAAGAGGGAAAATAACAAAGACAATGTTTTGCATAAACTGTCTGAAAAGAAAAACAATCACTGGGTTGAAATTAAGCAAAAAAAAACTTTTGTGAGGGTAGGGATGGGATTCTTCCAGTTTCAGGGGTTTTGTACTTTCATTGGTCCAACAATATCTAACTCTCAACAGTGTCAAGCCAGTGGCTTTACAAGAACTCCAGAACAGAGTCTATTTCAGCATAAATGAAGTTCCTGATCATCTAGCTGAAGTCTTCCCCCGTTTGCTGTTCATTCTAGCTGTAATCTATCAATAATTCAGCCCCCGTATTTTCAAGATATTTCATTACCGGTGATGAAAGTTTAGTTTGTGGGAACATTCTGGACATAGTCCTGAAAAAGAAAGAATCAGAACATTACAGCCATGTATTTCGTAAGCATAATTAACAAAACTGATTAATACATACACAAAACTAGACAGAACACTATCTTCCAATTTCAGTAGCTTTTCCTTCAAAACAAAAGTTACAACATAATTGTAGCCAGGGTTGAGAAAAATACCATGATAAAAGTCTTCAGTACAAACCCAGATTTTACTAAACCTGGAGAAAAATCACATGTTTAGCACTGGCAGTTCTTCATAAAATATATCAGTGCTTCTCATGTACAGATATCCCATTTTATGGACATTTGTGGACAGATCAAACTGCTCTACAATTATGCTGAAGACCCATAAGTCTCTTACAGCTTTGCCAGAGACCAAGTGCTGCCACATGGAGTGTCTTGTGCACAAAAGAAAAAACATCATTAACTTGTTTTACACAAAGTAACTGTGTGAACTGTGGTAAGTTTAATTATCTAATGAACATATCAAAATATATACAATATTGAATAAAAAATCCCACTTGAGGCAAGAATGGAAGAGGAAGTGATTTAATTAAAGTTAGAATTTTTGGAAGAAAACCTAAGTATTAAAAATAAAACCAGTAGAGCTGAAGATGTGCAAAAAGTTGTCTGGTCCAAAGCCCTAAGGACTCCTAAGCCATGTAACTGATCAAGCAATGAGAATGATGAAACCCTCCTTGCAATGCTGTATTGTCCATTAAAACCAGACGTGCTTGTACACAGAACAGCTTATAATCAGTTATTCTAATTTTATGATACCACCAATTATACAGCACGAAGTGCTCAACCTGTGACAACTTTGTCATACATAATGATAATACCCATTCTCTCCAAATCAAGACCATCATACCACCTGTAACTAATTTAACAAAATTATCTCCTGTTCAGTATTTTCTACTTTGCCTGAACTAATACCATTATCATTGGGTCTCACTCGATAGCTTTTAAAGCACATGCTATTTGTCTTCTTTTAAGTGTATATATCCTTGAAAGGCCGACTTACTCAATTTCACAAGTGCATTCCTCTTTTCACCATGTTCAACGTAACCAAAATTCACCTCCCAGCTCTTCAGGCCTTCTTTCTCATCACAGTGCTTATTTCCACAGGAAAACTGACCTTTAAAGAGGTCAAAAACAGCAAATCATGGTTCAATGATTAATATGCATATGTTTGGGGTTGTTATTTCCAGTTTTGCTCAGTTTTTGCTTTTTGTTTTCCACTTCTTTCAAAGAAAAAAGCACAAATCTAAAAGTAACATCTAGATGAAGGAAACTAACAAATAATGACCAAGGAATCAATCATACTTGTCTAATGTTGCATATTTGCAAAGAAAGAACATAACTTGAACTGTGTTTGACAATGTATAGATAAAGGCATATGTTAAGAAATAATATGCCTAATACTAAATTCTGAAGAAATTAACGTCACCAGGATACATTCTATATTATAGACTATATCTATATCATAGGACAAGAGGAAACAGTCTCAAGTTGTGCCAGGGGAGATTCAGGCTGGACATTAGAAAGAATTTCTTCACTGTTAGAGCTGTTAAGCATTGGAACAGGCTCCCCAGGGAGGTGGTGGAGTCACCATCCCTGGAGGTGTTCAAAAAACGTTTCGATGTGGCGCTTCAAGACATGGTTTAGTGGGCATGGTGGCATCAGGTGTACGGTTGGACTTGATGATCTTTGAGGTGTCTTCCAACCATAATGGTTCTATGATACCTTCCACTACACCAGGCTGCTCAAAGCCTCATCCAACTTGGCATAGGGCATCCACAACTTCTCTGGGCAACCTCTTCCAGTGCCTCACGGTGAAGAATTTCTTCCTTATATCTAATCTAAATCTTCCAGTTTAAAGCCATTGCCCCCTGTCCTATCACTACATGCCCTTGTAAAAAGTCCCTACCCAGCCTTCTTGTAGGCCCCTTTTAGGTATTGAAAGGCTGCTATAAGGTCTCCCTGGAGCCTTCTCTTCTCCAGGCTGAACAACTCCACCTGTCTCAGTCTGTCCTCACAGGAGAGGTGCTCCAGCCCTCTGATCATCTTCGTGGCCCCTCTCTGGAATCACTCCTAAATGCATATCCTAAATGACTACTTACTTAGCAGAGGATGATGGATCAGGAGTTGTGATTCAGACATGCACCTTTAATGACATCAAACTATTCAAAGTATTGTGTATGTACAAAATTAAGATGCCTGTGTTCTTACCACCTTACTAGTTCACCTGAAATACTGGACATACAATTTGTATTCTAATGACTTTCCATAAGCACTTTTAACAAAAGCAAATTCAGTTCTGTGAGAAATTATAGAATCTTTAAAAGCTTCCTGGGGTTCATTATGGCAAATACAACACTAATTTTAAAACAATTTGCACACAATGGATGTTGATTACAACACTGGCTTCCCAATATTGCAGTAATAAAGATACATATATTCCCTTTGCAGAAGACTGATTTGTATGCAGAGGTGGCAATAAGGATGTGTATTAATAGGCTCACAAGCAGGACTGTTGGCGAACGATTAGCCTCAGAACATTCTGCTTAAGCTGGTAACTAATGGATTGGCACTGTCCTCAGATACTTCAGTTCTGCAATGTAAAACCACTTGCAATGCTAACACTTGAACCAAACCCCACCCCAGGACTCCCATTAAAAAAAAGGTTCAAATTAATATACATTAAATATGTTTAGCCCTATACGAGGTATGGCTATCAGTACCCCGTGTCACCAGGAATGATTTCTATCTGTTATAAAGAAGTAAAAATCTACAAGGAACAATTTATACAATATGAAACTTTTTGGCACTTAACCAGATTGTTTATTTCACATCTTTGGAAAAAAAATCCCAGAATAAACCCAGTTAAACAGGCAGAGAGAAAAGAGAGACGTATCAGTTTTATTTATGATTAGCTGCTCTTTACAGTATGTAAAATCCATTTTGGATAAACTCTATGTTCAGCTTTGCTCTTTCTGCATATTGCTGAAAAAGTCCTATTTCAACCTCTACTCAATGAACTTGTTACCTATTTTCCTACCGAAAACTTTTACCACTATCGCCTTTTGCCTAAAATACCTTCTATGTTAAAATTTTATGCCATATCTTACTATCCATGCTTTAAAAGTAGAGAAAAAGTACTTGGGAAGGCAACTGAAATACAATTTTGTAAATAGCTTAAAAGCTTTTCATTTTAAGGATTTATTTTCAGACCAACTAACTCATGTGCCTACTATTCACCAATTTTAAAATTTTAAAGTAGAGTTTCTACCCCAACTTAAGATTTTAGTTAAGAAAACGCCCATTTTGTGGAACTATTTGTTGAAACTGGCAATATATTACACCATTAACCGCCACTAAGGTTACATTTTAAATTTAAGGAGATAAAGCAGCAAACTCCAATATGGTCTCCTTTCAAAACACCTATGCCGAAAGATTGGAGTGGGAAAGAAAAGGAAGAAATAATCTGGCATTTACAATTAGTAATAAAAGTGATACCTCTCCTTTCACTCATCCTAATCCTTCTTTTTCTCCATGACCTTACAAAGACAGACATTGAAAGTAAAGCAAGCAAATGTGAGTAACCCATTCCTGTGATCCCTTCTTAACATACCTCAAACCACAGTACAATCCACCAGCAGTGGTTCTCATCACCACTGCTATTGTCACAGCTAAAATAAGCACATGCTCTCTCTTTTTTAATGTGAATTATCAGACAGGTAGGTATTAATGCTTTATTACATTTAATTAAGTCAATTTATATTACTGATTTATACTTAAAAATAGCAAAAGAAAGGCATTAAAGATCCACGCCATTTTTTAAATGATCGTTTGAAACTGCACTTGAGAAGAGCATCTAATACACAAGATAAGATTGAATTCTTGCGCCCCTTAGTGGTGAACGATACTATTTCTCAATTCTTACGTTCCAATTGTACGTTTTCCATTACGATTTCATAAAAAAGCTTAAAACAGGTAATTCTGCACTTTCTCCCACATTTTTAATTATGGAGTATCAGATATTAAAAGTACAATCCATCTTTAAATTATTTTTCCCCATGAAGACATAATTGTTCATAAATTACACATTTCTCATTTAATTTTAATTATCTTTTTAAATCATTCAATAAAGCATATAACTATATCAAATGCAACTATCTGTTAATACAATCTATAGTGCTGAATGCAATATACGACTACAACTACCTTTAGAAGCTTTAATCTTTGTAGCTTAAAAAACCCCACCATTAATTTTCACACTTCTTCCTGTGAAATATATTTTTTTTAAAAAAAAAAGTGTATTTCTAACTTCTTGTAATATATTATAACAAATAGAGCTGTTTACAGAACTGTTCTGCTCAACAGTATCACTCCACACAATTTTCCTGTGTGTGCATGCGTGACTTCTGAGAACCATACATGTGTATGAAGATCTGCCCACAGGAACAGCAATACATTCACATCATTTTCTTGCTTGTTCAGCTACTTGCAAATATTCATGTGCCTACACTATGGAATGGAGACCACTGCGTAAAGTCCCAATAACATATTGGTACAAACTCACACAGACAAGCAGCCAGAATAAATTATTGATTTAGAAACAGGATTGGGAGACATGACAACCATTCCCACTGATTCTCACTGAAGCTTTCAAAACCAATTTAGCCTAAACCAGACATCACACATGGAACTTTTAATTAAAAAGTTAACATTTTGCAAAACAGTACTGGAGAAACTGTTAAGAAAATTATTTCCTGAGGAAAAGAATTGAGTGACTTCAATGAAAGGTATCAAAGATTAATGAGATAACATAGAACTACTGGAGAAAAACAGTTAAAAAACGTAACAATAAAATCCTACATTATCAAATACTTTATATGGGTGTTCATTACAAATCTGACCTTGTGAAAATAAACCATATGTTTTCTTAATTTTAATATATGCAGATCAGCATGCACTCTTGAGCTATGTGGCATAAAACAGCAAAGTTAGAAGTTAGGTCAATTTACTGTCCATTATTATCTGATAAACTTACTGGTATTGTCAAATACTATCTAACAAAATTATGTCAAAATCCAGCAAGAAAAGAATCAAGGAGAAATGCAATACAAAATGAAAGCCAGCACTACCTTTTCCTGAAATGACTTCTTTCTCATGTCGCCATCTAAATCCAAACTGTTAAGATAAGAACCAAAATTAAGTTGTGAATAATCAACATATTCAAGTAATCGGAAGACTAATTTAATTTGATTGATGTCCTGCATATGGTTCATCCATTCAATTCTGGTTAGTAAAATTTAATTTCTTCCTCTGTTAATGAAAAATATCTCTTTGCCTCTGCTTGCCAGAAGGATTCCAATTTACACATGCAATTCAAATTCCAGCAGATGCTGTTCAGTACTGAACAGCAACATTCTCAAAGGCTTCATAGCAGGCAGAAGAACAAATAGCGAATTAGGATAGACTGACTCTGCTAGATACTTCATCGCAATTTTGTCCAAACTGAAAACTGAGAAGACCACTGGAATACTAAAAAGTCATATTAGCACGTATCAATGGGTCCCCTCTTACACCCTAAAGAATAAGAGAAAAATAACCAAACCAACAACTATGTTGTATTTCGCTTTACATTGCCTAGAAACTTCACATGTAGTCAACTCATGTACTATTTTTCTTTCCCAGTAGAATCTGCTTCATCCTCTCAAAATGGCAAGTAGTCTAATGAAAAGATTGAAGATGAAAGAGAGAACAGCCTGGGAAAAACAATTTTATTTCACTAACAAGTAGAAAGAGAGGATAAAACTCAGAGGCATACAACTTCTCCAAAAAGGGCCACCTTGTATTTTTGTTTAAAATTCATGAACACAGGATGACAAGATAAAATTGCTGCTGTGTAAGCAAAGCACAGAAGACTCTGAACTTCATGTTAAAAGAAGGGGAGGGAAGAAGGGAAGAAGCGTTACAAAATCGAAGAGGTACAAAAATGGCTCCAAAGCTGACCTCTGGCACCTGAGTTCCAAAGCATCCATTGAAATATGAATCTTCTCTTGCTGCATTCATAGACTGAACCCACACAAATGTGCATTTTGCAGATGCAGTGGCATAAATTCTGTAATACACTGGATTGATTTCCAATGTTTTTATTCTAATTTTAAAAACTGTACAGAAGTACAAGTATCTATTGCTGTGTGTGGTCTTTAATGTAGTTGATTTTTTTAATAAACCATAATAATTCTTCACCTGAAGGGCAACAGCATGGATTTCTCATGCATGAAGTGGTATGTGGTTCAAAGAATATCAGAAAAAACAAGGAAACAAAAGTTTTGGTTTTTAAGAATGGGCCATACTCTCATACAAATGCTTTGCACCTTAATAACAAAGCTGAAAAAACTGAGCAGAAAGACATCAGTAGCCAAATGTTTTGTCGGCACTGATTTTCCCCAAGTCAATATATTACATAGAAGATGTCTAAGAAAACTAAAAATTTGTACAGACCACTAATTTTTTAATTGGTATTATAACATAAACAATGTTTTCACACCTACTGGTTTCACTGGTAAAAAAATCACACGAGAAGATCAGGTTCTGCTATCATACTGTGTATGATGACAGTTTGCTAAGGCTGGGTTAGGTTGCTCTTGGCCTATTCTACAAAACTGCAGTATGGTCTAAAGTACCATTATACCACTCATGCTTCAGTCAAGCAAAAATCAATCAATTGTAAAAACCAAGAACTGTGCTGAAAAGTTCAGTGAAAACAGAATGTAAAACACATCTGTAAATGTAGAATTCATGATGGAAACCAGCTGATCCAAAGAGTGATGGTAATTGTTTCTGCTCTTTTAAAGGGTATTTCATGTTTTACAGGGTATTCTAATTCTGAAAAGCTTGTGATACAATTGAAAAATACTGCAAGTTTACGATTAAACATCAACAGTATTGTGGCACCAATATTGCCCATGTGTGCTGCTGGTAATAAAGAGTAAAAACCAATTCGACCTTATCTGTATGTTTGCTTTTTCATAGCCCATCTGCTACTTCACCAACCACCAAGTTATCCATCCTCACTTTTGCTACTGAAGTAGACTTTTATACAAATTTTCCCTCACATTCCAAACTTGACTCAATAATATATGAATCAGATTATATCCTTAGAGAGTATTTTTGTAATGATATCAAGAAAAATAAGCAAAATAAAAGAAAGGAGGGAGGGAGCCAGAACCACTTGTACTACATCTAGGACAAAAGTTGTCCTAATCCGCTTTCATTTCTGCCAATCATTTATCCACCAACTAGTGGAAAATGGCAGAGAGTGACAAAGGCTAAGAAGAAATAATAAAAAAAAAAAGTAAATACAATTTAACTCCTCTAACTAAGCTAAAGTATCAAGAACAGATTAAACTATATAAGAAAAATAAAAATTAGGGTAGGTTCTTGAATAGTCAGCCGGCAGTATTAAGGAATGCAAAAGCATTGATAGCAGACAATATTTATTCTGCTTCATCTTATTTGTTAAATGAGCTCAACAAGATCCTAAACAAGCTATTTGTGTAAGGTAGACCAACACCAAGTAGAACAACTCCAAAACAGATGCTTTACAAGAGTATCCAATGGCTAACTTAGTAAAAAATTATAGTTCTAAAAATGTGAAAGATCATTTAATATCCATCAACAATAAAATTCCCAAATTAAGTATCAATTGCTTGCGTAATATACATTGGTTGCAGCAACAACTAACATGCACACAGACACCTCTTTTGGAAAAAAAAGAAATTATGAATTTAGACAACACTGTGGAAAAATACCATAGGTATCTTAAATATTTTTATTTTCACAGGAAAGCCTCCATGCTGAAAAACAATGACAAAAGCAAATGTATTGACATTACCAAGGGGAAGACAAGTTGGCCTAGAAATCTGAAAATGATCTGGAAATAAAAACAAAAGAATAAAATGTATTCTATTTAATGACCAGGTGTCAGACAGATTTCATTTCTTAGCAAATAGGAGACATTTCCAATCTGTTAAGCTACAAAACAAAGCACAGAGACAGCAAATAAGAACCTTTCTAGGAAAATAAGTCAACAAAGAGAAGAGGACATTTCTAGTGCAATGTGTATCGAAGTAAAACTTACATGCAGAGCACTCTCCCCTACTGCATGGCAAAACTGCCAATAGGACTAAACTATCTGACAATACAGATGGTCATTTACCAGCCTCAAAGCTTGCAGACAGGATGCACTGAAGGTTCAAAGATAACCTTGACCTAAAAAATTCTGATCTAGGAAAAATATAAGGAGTAACAGAGCCATCACAAGCAAGAGCTGTCAGAGCAGAGCACACTCTTCCAGTGTCTCTAAGAAGCCTCACACCAGAGGGTCACCTTGGCATTTCTCATTAAAAGTGAAGGAGAAGATTGTATGTCCTAACTACACAAAGAAAAGAGGGACCGTGGGTCACAGGGTCCCATTTGCCTACAGTGCCAGCAACGGAGGTAAGTGCAGGTGTGCACATGAGTGTGTGAGCACCAGTGAAGACCAAGCCAAACTAGCCATCAGCTAGATGAACTGGTCTGGGAGCAAGGAGAGTGAGTGGGCCTCCACCAGCCAGCTCTGGCTGTGAGAGCACCTGTGTACCTCTAAGGATGACGGCACAGGGGGTCTGCTATGGGACTAGGGCAGTCCCAGCCATTTGTGTGTGTGTGTGTATGTGTCTGAAACAGTCTGAATGAGCAACTGGAGAGTCGCTGTGGCCTTGGGGGTTCACATGTCTTGGGGTTTCTTACTGTTTTTCTTGGGGCTTCGGTCTTTGACAAGATGGTTTGCTTATTTTTCAGACCTCAAGAGAGCCCCTCCCATGAAACTGGTCCTTATCATTATCCAGTACTTAAGAAAACAGTAGGGTTTTTTTCAGAAGAAAAGTTCTAAATGAGATCTGAGCTACAATCTCTAGGCAGAGGTGTTTAGAAGAATTAGCTGGCTAGAAGATTTTGGCTAGTAGCAAAACAATTACAGCTGTGAAAAGACAGATGAGTATGCATGTGCAAGTCTCAATCTATGCAATATATATATTAAAAATATCACAGAAAACTGTTTCCCAACTTTACTTTGACACTACCGAGGAGGATATAGAATCATAGAATCACAGAACAGCCCAGGTTGGAGGGGACATCAGAAGACCACCTGGTCCAATCTTTTGTGGGAAAGGGTGCCTAGATGACATTGTCTATCACCCTGTGCAATTGCATCATGAAAACCTCCAGAGTGGGGACTCTACCATGTCACTGGGAAGGTTGTTACAGTGAATGAATGTTCCCAGTGTAAACAATTTCTTATATCAAGATGAAGCATCATCATATAAAGCATCAACAACTATCATACAAAGGTTGGCCAGCTGAGAAGCTTGTTACGCACTCTGCACCTCTCAGCACCAGCACTGAAAAACAGATGGCACAAGGTGCTAAAGACATCCAACTTCCAGTTTCTGGAAATGCAGAAAAAGAATCAAGGCAGAAAAAATCTGAAAGCACAAACTCCATTCCATTGGCGTGAATGGGATCAGCAGCCTATTTCTGACTTCCAAGAAAAAAACCTCCTTTGACGTCCTTCTGTACTAAACATGGGTATGGATAAATCAGTATCTGAGAAAAATCTCATTTCTTCTATTTTTCTAAGAGTTTCTAATAAAGGACTCTCATATGGTCAGAATGTATTTGAGAGCAGAAAGCATAACGTAATATAAGAGAACAAATTACATGATACAGCAGAGTTATGCTGACATGTCTATTCCAAAAAATATAGGTAATGATTTATGAGCATAATTAAGAATTCAGAGTGACCTCAAAGTTAGGACAGCCACATTTGAAGTCTGACAGGGAAACACTGTTTGCACAACATACAAAAAAAAATAAAGGAAACTGGGGCGGAACAGTTTCCCACAAAAGACAGCAAACATATGGAAACTTGGCACAGTAGTGAAAGAAACAAAATCTGTAAGCATGCTCAAGGGAAAACCAGTTGGGGGGGTGGGGTGGAGATTGAGGGATATGAAACAGCTATAGAAAAATAAAATCAAATTTACTCAAAAAACCAGGAGGGAAGACATCTTCAGTATTTTACTTTCTGTTAATTTTCATTTAATTTTTGCATTTTTCTGTTCCAATTTTCTTTAGAAGGTTGTCATCTTTTCTACCTAATATTAGAGTTTAAGCCCACTCCTTGCAAATATTTACCAGTGAGTGTAATTTTCAATACTATAAATAGTCTCAAAGAACTTTATATAGACACTGTTCGCAGGGGCTGGGTTGTTACTATGTGCTAACAACACTAAGACACATTCGAGTTCAGCAACACTCTTCGCAAAACCATAATAGAAAATTCATATATTCTTTTTGACTAAAAGGTTAGTCAGTCAAAAACTTGGAAATGACAAAGGCTGTTCCAGTTAAGAAGAAAAACTGGTGCTGGAATTGGGCTGTTCCTCTTAAGAAATTCTATTTATTTACAAAGAACATACAAATCCTGTTTCCATAAACAGAAAGAACAACCAGCAAAAGATGCTGCTTTAGAACAGACATTTCCAAAATTGTTTCTGCCAGCACTCAAATACAAAACTCTCTCTTTTTAAACTTTTTTCCCTTTTTTTTTTTTTTTTTTTTTTTTTTTTTTAACAGTAACATTCCCAGGGTTTTTTTAGGCTTCATCTAGTGCTTCTCTCCAGGCAAACCTCTCTAGTCTTCTCTCCTTAACCTCTCTGCATTTTCTGCTTTTCTTACACACAATGTACCTCTTCATAAAACACCATCTGAGAGAAATGCTCCTGTTCCCACAGAAGCACGTTTTTGGGGCAGTGACAATGCTTGGATTTAAACTGCTGCTGCTTATTAAATAACTTGACAAATTCTCACAACTCTCTTTCTAGGGAAGGGGTTCTAACATTCTGGTTTCACAACATATCCACAATCATAAGGCAATTTTTAAAAAAGGACATACTTTAAAACCAAGATGATTTACAAAAATGAAATGTACCTTATTCTCTTTGTATCTACTGAGATCTGCTATACAGTATTCTTTGAACAATTTATCATAATACTTCTTCGCAAGTCTTTTCTCCCTATAACAAAATATATTATTTTTTTATTAAATATAGAACATGATAAAACTCATTTTACATTGTAATGACATTAGCAAGACAAAGACATGTTGTTTCATCCAAAGAACACAAGCTGCAGAGCTAGAAATGCAACAGAAACATACTCATTGAGCTAAGGGGTAATATCCATAAAACTGGAAAAATACATCTAAAATATAGCGACAGCACAAATTAAACTATATTTTTTCAAACTAGGCTTCTTTCAGAGTTTTCAGAACAGTCATCTGGATCTCAGAGAACACACAAATATTTCTTAGTTCTTTCTCTCATCAATTCATTTTGCCACTGAGTAATTTTACAATATGAAAGACCTCCTAAAGGTCTTTCATTTTTAAATGCATTAAAGATCAAAGAATGATCACTCAGGATGTACAGTAATTCTTAATTAGTAGGGGGACACTACAATTTAGTTCAAGTGATCTAAAAATAGTATGTTCTATAATAGTTCCAGGTACCAATTCATGTCTGTTTCATCATCTTCGTTCCACAGGAATCTATGGTTTTCTCTTATAACATCAAGATCCGTCTTGTCATTTGCTCTATAAAAGGACACATTTTTTTTAGTACAATGTAACATTAAAATGAAGAGTCAGTCAAATAATAATTTGGTAAACATCAGTATTTCACAGTTTTCATCTCCACCTCACCACATAAAGGAATATACTGCTATGGAATAAAAGTATCAAAAAGTGTATTCCCTGGCATACCTTTTCCCAAATGAAAACTTTACAGTGGAAAACAAACACTGAAACTGTGGATGACTTGATCCTGTCTGAAAATACTTTTTATACCTTTTATTGAAGACAGTAATGTTAGAAGGCAGTTATAGATAGCTCTAAAGAAGGTTATCATTATTCTGGACAATGGATAGCAATTCTGCACATTTCAAAAGTATTTCAGAATGCTATTTTGAAAGTACTGCCAGATATTTCTCAATGTACCCTCAATTAATGCTCACCTGTCATCTTTCCTTTTACATAACAAAACAAGAATAATTCAGCTCATTGTAAGTTCTCATATAAAAATAATGGTGCAAAATGAAACAAGGCAATCCTGTGTTTTGGATATTTACAATGACTGCAGTTACTATTTGTGACCAAACGAATTAGTAATTTGATACACAGCCACATTCCTCTCCCCCCTCAAAAGCTATAATATATATTTAATGGCTTTACATAACAGGGGAGCTTTGTGGGCTTGAGGGGAAAGACTGCGAAGGGTTCTTACCCAGAACGTCGGAAATCTTCTATTTTGCCACCATAGTATAAAATGTAGTCACTCACAAACTTTTTATGTCTTTCATACTGAATAAAGCAATTAAGGATTGTTTCAGAACTTCTTTTATTTTACCATATTTTAAAACTAAAAAAATTGTAAAAACTTTTCATATACTTAACAGAAAGAAGTTTTTTTCTCAAAAACAGTTCAGTAATTTCCAGAAAGAAAGGAATTAATTAGTAATTTTTACTTTATAACCTCTCATAAAAGCTGCTTTCCAAATACAGGAATTCAATGCAATTTAATCTTTAAAACCTCATTCAGCTGCCAGACCTTTATAAAATTGTCTTCCTTTATCAAAGATGCTCTGTAAGCATATACATAGAAAATGGGTTCATTTTTTCAGCTGTAATTTAGACAATCGCTTCTTAGTACTGCAGTTTTGGTTTAAAACAGGTTTGTATTTTTGTATTATAAAAATAGCCTGGCTATAAAATGGAACAATTTATTACATTCTACCATCAACATACAAATAAAAGTTATCCGCTTTAGTTTGGAGATGAAAATGATGAAAAATATGTAATGCTTTTTTTAGAACACTTTGGTCTCAGAGACGTGATTTGAAACACATTTTGTACCATAATTTGAGTAAAAATATGTAATTACTTATTCAGAAAATAAGTGTCTTCATAAATAAAACATTATATATAGTTACTCAAAAATATTTTCAATTAATTTGTATGGTGTTTCTGAAGCAGCAAATTAGGAAATACATTATCTCCTGGTACATACCCTGGCAACTACTGCATCCGTATGAATAATGTGTATCAATCTACTATTTTGACATGTATTAGAATTTTATTGAGAAAACATTTTATTTTCCAAAGGTCCTCAGAAAGTTAATTTAACCTCAGTATGTGTCTTTTTTTTTTTTTCTTTCCACCACAAATAAGATGGAACAGAGAAGCAAGACCAGAAGGTTTAACTGGCACAATTAAACACATTTAACACAACATACTATTTTGTTCTGTCATTTGAGTTACTAGGTGCTAAAATTGCCTAACAGTAAAGGTTCCTGTTTATAGGAACCACTCAAAAACATTAGCAGAAACTCATAAAAGTCTCTGCACAATGAGTTTTGTAGTCATTCCAGAATATACAGGCTTTTCTGTGGCTAACGATAAGCCTACAATGTCAGTGGGACTGATTAAGATATGTCCCCTTTACAGACATACAATGGTTTATGTAGTACCTGGTCAAATTCTAAGCAGGTCAGAAATTACTTTCTGTTTACTGGAGTTTCCAGATTTCAGTAAGTCTTTCCATATTTAATTAGTCTTTACTTTCTAATTTATTAACTGTTACTGCTGAAGAACAAGTATTTAAACAAACAAGGAACTGATGGTATTTCAGATACACCCAGTCAAAACATGTAACTGCCCCAGGTGAAAACTAAATAAAAGGAGAAAGGTTGTAATCTAAACAAGGTAGCAGTTATAAAAATAGTTCCAAATTATGCATGAAATATGATTTTAAAAAAATACAACTGCACATGATATTAAACAGGCTTACATTAGAGCATCTGTAGAAGATATTACCGGAGATAAGGCTGTTTTGAATAGACTTTTGAATTAACTAATGCATTCTTAAATTTCCAGTAGAAATGTATTTGTCCACAGATAATAGCAGCCTTATATAGAATTATGTTCTGTATAAACACAACTGAAAGAGCAAAGTGTCTTTGTGTCAGTCTAAATGAAACTCACTGTATAATAATTTTGTCCCAAACAGGACAAATGAGCATATAGGATGAATCTGAAAAGGCCTCTACTGAGTAGAGGCATTCTCAGAGACATCTCAGCAACAAAAAGAAGCTAATTTGAAGAACGACTCAGTATCTGGTGCTGCACTGTCAACTGCTGTGATCACTGAGAAATCCCAGTATTTCACCATAATGGGTAACCTGTGTCCCATCTTTAAACATGAAATAAAACAAAACAGAAGGATACAGCATCCATCGCTATCAAATGAAATCTTCTTTTTCTTGCTTCTTCCCTGTTAATAACAAATACGTTTGAGTGAGCTATCTTTACATTAAGGGCAAAATGCCTCAGAAAAGCAATAGATAAAAGATACCTATCCCATTCTTCAGCTGCAAATTGTCTGTGAACCACACTGCCTTGTTTTGCTTTTTGGAATGGCTTCATCAGAAGGCCATCTTCGTTTATACTGAAGGTAGGGGGGAAAAAGGAAGAAAAGTTAGTCAAGACCTTTTCATAAGCAGTAACATTTCCATATGCCAAACTGCACTAACATGAGTAACAAAACCTGTTATACTGCTAGTTTCTACATGAATAAAACTAAACTTCAGAATGAATGTTAGCTTAGACCTCACTTCATTTGCAGAACAAAAACAGAAAGGCATTTGCTTACAGTTAGCATTTAAAGAAAATTGTTTAATTTTTAATATTTATTTTTATCAATATATATTTTATCAATATTATCACTACAGAACCACAATGAAAAAACCCTGAAGATGCCTGAGTTTAATTCTACATTTAAAGCCTTCTATAAATCCCAGCTACACAGCCAAGTAGGAACAGGAAGGACAGTATGTTCACTGAATAAGAGTGACTGCTGGTAACACTATCTCACCCTTTCATGCTAATGTCTCAATACCTCATTAAACAGCTCTGTCTTTCGCAGTGTAATCACAGGAATCACTAATTTAAAATTTAAGTACTGTGTTGTCAACCATACTTGTCAGCGGGCAGCTAAAAATACTTTCAGAATTCAAGAAAGTAATAAAAAGTTAAATCAAGCAACACACTTTAGCTAGTAAAAGGTATATTTAGTTAGTTTCCTTCTTCAATAAAGGTGAAGAAAAGATTTTTTCCATTATTATCAGCTGGCAGAAAGAATGGAAGTCAGAATTCTGTAGAAAGCAAGCCAGGGAATTTATATTTCAAGCTACGGAATATAGGACTTAAGACTACTATTTTCCTTAAAGTGAAAATAAATATCACAGAGCAAGAAAAGGATATAGATATATACAGTGAACCCACATAATAGCATTACTGGGAATCAGTGGTAGTGTGCCAGAACAAGGGTAATGATGGTATTTTCGAAAGGCTCCTGATGGGTTAGTTAATATTCCACTTAGAAAGCAGAATGGTATAATGTGTAATAGCCTTTTAAAGAAAACGAACACTGAAGAAAACCAGTCACTGGTTTAATGGAGAACAGCTATATTTATAAAATAAATGGAACAGCACAATGCCTGCTATTATTTGAATGATTAAAACATGAATTTTTTTTCCCAGAATGCAGTCAGACACTACAAGACCCATTCTTTCAATTTTACTACAAAGGAAAATATGCAAGAGTCCTAGGAAAGTTTCCCGAAAGCCGCCTTAAATAAAGTCCAATAACAGAGCAAGGGAGAGACAGGAAAAGGTGAGAAAAATATATGCATAATGTAGGCAAAATGTTCAGTACAGTGCAGAAAGTGTTGAAGAACTATTGTGCCAAGGCAAAATAAATACATAAATAAATAAAAATCCTAATAATATAATGACATCAGACTACAAAATCCAAGGTCATTAATTGTGCGAACCACTGAAAGAATGGGCAAAGGTCATCTCAAATAAGAGATGCATAATTACATTTCAAAGAGTGAGTACAACACAATTTACCAATTCCCAGGTCTCTTCACAAACTAAATAATAAACAAGTAGCATCAGTTCTTCACTTCCTCCAAGCAGGTGTTTCATATCTACAAAGCCTGCTGCCACTTGGACTTTTTTGCCTTGCTCCCTTAGCGGCTCCACGTGTCCTGATGGATCACAGTGAAATGAAAAGCACAGCCAAACCCCAGCAGTTGATACTAATGCTCGGAAAAACGAAACACTCTGCTCCAGGAACTGAGGGGCATATAGACACCAGATGGACATGGCAGAACGGATCTTAACCAGCTGCCCCTGGGAGACAACATGCTTTGGCAAGCTCGACATCAGGAGATGCAGGAATCAAACAGACTGATTTTTCAAAAACCGTTTCAACACCAGAATTTACATACCACAGCATAATCTTCTACACACAGTAATAGCCCAATTGCCCAAAATACAAAATGCCAAGTGTTAATTCTGTATGACATTACCTTTTAGTCTTTTGCACAGACTTATCTCCATTTTCCTCATCACTAAAATCAGAATCATAGCCTCCATGGCCACGTGCCTGCAAATAATAGGCAACAGTCAATACACCTGCTAATGTAATATAGACATGGCACAACTAGAAATCAGTACTGTCCATCATGCATAAAAAAAGAAAGACAGAGCAAGTGAGCAAGTGCAAATTCTCATATATGTCTAAACCAAACCAAAGTCAACAGACAATGCAGACTATATTCTAAATAACACAGGGCAAAGAAAGGTATCGTCAGTCTGTCAAAAGATCACTTTATAAATAATTTATATGCAGATGTCCTCATACTAAATCTTCACATAGTTGCAGAAAACCAAAAGTATGTTAAACGTCTTTGGTCTTCACTTTCAAACAATCTCCCTTATATGAGAAAAAGGAGAGTAATTTCCCCAGGAGCTACTTTCAGAGGGCTGGAGGACAGGAACTGATGTGCCCACATTATAAACAAACAAAAATAAGAATAAAACTTTCTTGGGCTGTAATACAGCGTTTTAGATCATTAGATCTTACTGGATCAGCTGGAAAGCTGATTGAAATGGTAACTAAAATGGAAAATAACAATATGCCTGCAAAAATTACTGTCTAACCAGCACAACATTCCTACCATGAAATGAAATTTTTTTTTCCACACACTTTGGGACTACAATGTCAAAATAATGCATGTAAAAAACCCAAAATATCCCATATCTTAATGCCAACAAATGATCAAGCACTGACTGATGCCCAGGATCCCCTCCATTTTTCAAGGCACAGTTACATGTCCAATTCTTTCAGCAGAAGTAATGGCTTAAGTAGATCCCACCTCCTCTCCCTCACTCCTACTCTTGTACCTTCCTTCCAGTTGTTCAGTTACAGCTGTGAAACTACACATGAAGCAGATCAAACAACTCACCCAAGTTACAAAAGATCCTATTAAAAAAAGATTCTTTTAACTCAGAGAAGTTTCCTGACAGTCCATCCAGAGCTCCCGAACCAGCTACACCAGCCAGCTGGAGGGGTAGCATAGGAAGGGAACTGCCAGAGCTAGGAACTGCATAAACTGGAACCGACACCAAAAAAGCATTTACACAACTGGAACATTTACGCAACAAGAGGGATGGTTATTACACATCTGCATGGGGAAAGGTTTGACATATACTTCCTAAGTATCTTGGTAATTCAAATTGTGCATGAGAAAAGAAACTCAGAAAAACAGTGTATTTGATTCAGCATTGATGATTCCTACATTACCTACAATTATATTCCTCCTCAGACAAAAACCTGAGAAAAACAAAATCTGCAAAATAGACCCATCTCTGCAGGATGATTTTGATGAGGTGCCTTCTCTGGATGCCAATGCCTCCCAGAAATGCCATGCTGGACAGTCAACTGTATCCTCTACTGACATCAACAACTGGTCTGTATCATGCAGAATATGTAAAACAGTATCTTCTCATACTGATGGTGAAGGATTGATTTTTAAGGTTTTTTAAAACTATTTTTATTAATAATAATAAACTGTACCTTTTTCCCCTGCTTTAATACTGTAATGCTCCTTCCACTCTTGAACTCTTCTGAAGAAGACACAGCTCTCATATACATATATTTGAACAAAAGCAAATCAGAACTTTCTGATTTGCCTTTATGTTTTCTATTTCCCAGGAGACACAAAAATTATCAGTTACCAAAAAAAAGAGCAGCAGATGTCTGCAGGGTCTGGTGTAAGCGGGTCTTATGCACTGGCAAAGAGCTGCAACAGTGGAAAATGTGACTACCAGCACAGTCCTATGATAATCCACAGCTCAGGTGCAGGTCTCCTAGCTGAGATGGTTCTAACAGCAAGCCTGTCACTACTTTTATTAATGAAGCTTACGTGGTCTTTAAAAAAGGCTAAATACATTATGACTGTGCAGTAAATATATTTATACTTGCCTTCTAAATTTAAAAAATATCATGGTAATCCAGGAATGTTTTAAATGGCAAAAGTAATGATTCCCAGATGAATGCTGAGAGCTCCCTTCACACTCAAAAGGGGAGAAAGTCCAAGCCAACACAACATGCATGAAAGGCAACATGAGTTGATGAAATATAAAAACAGGCAAGAGAAAAGCTTGAATAAAAGGAGATTTTCCCAAAGGAGTTGCCCTTGGATGATGGGCTCCAGGAAAGAAGTAGACATACCCAGCAATCAGCTCCCAACTGATTCCAGGAATGACTCAAAAAAAAAAAAATGCAAGACAAGCTGCTCCATGAGAGTCATACTGTAGGGCTCTCAGAAGGTGATGACTACCTTTTGGAATGCTGTGACTGAATATAAGGGCAGGCATGGCTAGCACTAGGTCCTGAGAGGCTGCTTTTCCAACAGGAAAACTCTTCAGAGCTTCAGCCATTCCTCTGCATCACTACAATCACTCAAAGATAAATTCAGAGTGAAAAAGAGTACAAACCACGACTGATATCCTGACAGTTCTAGGTCACTCATTCTTCGAAGGCAACAGCAGGAACAGGCAGGTACTGTACCGAAGTTGGGTCTGACATCAGCAGCTCCAGGACTGCTGGACAGCACTCTTTGAGACAAGGACTGAACAATTACTGACCTGATGCCTTAGGATGATATCAAGATGATCTGACTTTTAAGTACAACATAAAAATTAACTCCATCAAAGAATCTCATCCATAAATGAATCTTTTCAGTTTTGGAAGGACAGCGTAAACAGACATCTGCTTAGTGCTGTAAAATTTCAAGATTGATTTCTCCTCCACAAAAAAAAAAGCCAAACAACAATCCCAGATAAGGAAAACGTATTTAATATTTAACCGTACTAAAAGAAGAGCAGATATCAAAGCTTTGTGCCCAAGCTACCAGATTTTAAGAGGTATATGTAGATATGGGCATACAAAAATTGTGAAGAAAATTTAAAATAACTACTTTCACCAATAAACCCTTTAACATAACCTTTGATTTTCTGACAAATCTGAATTTGCCAGAAACTCGGAATGCTTTTAGGAAATTAGTAAGGTAAGTAACAAACATTTTATCAAAACATGAACCTCAAAGCTACATAACTTAAATAGTACAGTGTGTTTTGCCTGTTGCACCGATTTAGAACTTTTTTTTCCCAAACAACAAAACAAACTGAAACCACAAAACTAAAACAAGTATCAATATGCTTTGGGATACATTTAAATCACTGACATTTAAGTAATCCCAGCATCTTGGATTAATTAATAGGGAAGCAATTGGAGACAGAACAAAACCCACTAACTTAGGGCTCCTAAAAAATGGTAACTTAAACACAGTAAATATATGAACGCTGTACACAACTGACAGCAGATAGAGGAGATGTCAACTGTTGATGTCAATACAGGACACTGCGGACTCCCTAGCACTGCATTTACAGAAGGTATTTGCATCCAGAAAAGGCACCTCCTTTCACCCTCTGCACTGGGGTAAACGCACACTAGTGAAATGGACACACCATAGTTCATGTTGACTCCTGATCAGAACATGCAGCTGAACAGAAAAAGACAGGCTAAAAAAAAAAAAGCAAAACACAAAATCCCAACTTGCAGGTGCTGACCTCTGCTCTAATCTTGCTACTCCCCTCACAAGTGTCACTCCTATCCTCCCCTTTATCTGCCCAGCACACAGGTCTGTGCTCATGTCTGCTCACAGCCCAGATGTGTCCTGAAACACAGCTGAGTGCTCATTTTGGTACAAACTACTCTGGTAGGGACTGAAGGGAGCATGGGATCTAGAATGGGGTCTGTGGAGCCATCCTGGCTGGATAAAGGGTGCCATGCCAAGGGTCAGCATGCTTCACTGCAAAACACTCTTCCCATCCTGATGTCTTTCAGGCTTTGCAACCCCTACTCTGGGGAAAAAAACCTGGCAGTAACTACAATCAGCCTGAAACCTACTCTTCCTTGTAAAACCAATTACAAGGCGTATTTACACACACTGTACAGTGAACACCCCTAACAAAAAGAAAAGGCACCCACAAGATACTGCCCCTTCGTTAAAGCTCTAAAACTATGAATGGAGAAGCCGGAGTAAAAGGTAGGTAACAGCAGACCACAACACTGATGATTAGAGCTTTGTGGGGCTCCACGGAGAAAAATCACACTGAAAACCAGCCCGTGTGGCTCCTACACGATTTCCGAAGCCATTCTCATGCTCCGAAGGCC